TTCAGATTAAGAGTTGGACTTCCCATTGGCCAAACCCAGTGAGATGCCAGAGGGCAAGGGAGACCAGGTATTCAGCCTCAGAGGTCAGAGGCTGGTGTCCTGGGCACACAGTGGGATATAGTCAGTGGATAATGGCTGGAGGACTACCCAGAAGTATCCTTCCAGTGAGGGCAGGGATACAGCCAGGGTGAGGAATAACAGGAGCCCCAAGGGAGAAGGCTGTGGGATCCCCTCCCCTCTTAGCCCACCAGGCAGAATGTGCCTCTCGCTGCAGTGATGGCATGCAGCCTCACTACTGTTCTACTCCCATTGGCTGGGCAGGGCTGAGGAGTAAAGACCCACCCCCTTCACCTCGCACCTCCATATGGACATGGCTGCTAAGTCTGGGCCAAACAACTCTTTTTGAAACCACTCCCCTCTGTGGCCTGGTTTGAGCATGACACCTGTTTCTACAGGTAGGTGACTGACACCCACTTATGTCTTCTTGAGCTCAAGCCAGGATGTGGGGAGGCAGGTGGCCCTGTTTCTTGGGACCTGGTCAGGAAAAGTCTCTTCACTCAAGTGACAATTAAAATGAAACCCACCTTGAAGTATCCAGCCCTGCAGATGTCTCGGAAAGGCCCAGGCAAGTAGAGGGTAGGTGCGAGGGAGGTGAGAGCAGGTAGCCAGCCTGCCCAGGTCAGAAAATGGAGAGGGTACACAGCCCAGGACTGCCATGTCAGGTGAGGTGGGGCCACAGCAGGACAGCACTCTCACACATTAAGAGCAGTGGACCAGAGGGGACTGTCAGGCAAAGAGCTGGATCAGCGTTGTGACGGAGCCATACCACCCTACCTTGTGATTCAAACTGCTCCACAGCCTCTTTCACTGCTTCCTCTGGCCCCATCTCAAACTCCTCGATGTTCTCACGAACAGCTGCATCAAAGGTCTCCTGGGTGATGCGCTTGGTGGCCATCTTCATTCCTTCCTCATGGGCTGTAGGCACCCAACAGATGCTCCTGAGCTGAGAAGTTAAGGTGAGAAGAAAGCTTCTTTGAGGGCAGTTGGGAGCCTGGCCACCATTTAAGGAGTATCTACTGGGGCTGCAGCCATACGAACATCTGGAAAA